ACCTCTACTTAGCCAAGGGAGCGAAGGTTATGCTCTCGAAGAACCTGTACCAACAAGTTGGGCTGGTGAACGGCATTAGAGGCGAAGTCGTCGAGTTGGTGTGCGCAGATGATGCGCCCCCGCCGAAGCTCCCCCTTTACGTTGTCGTCAAGTTTGAAGGGTACTCGGGGGGGGAATGGTCGTCTCAGGAGAGGTATAGACGTTGTGTCCCTATTTCTCCCGTCGACACCACCTGGCAGGACGGGGGGACGCAGGTCAGGACGCAGCTGCCCCTTAGGCTCTGCTGGGCAATTACGATGCACAAGTCCCAGGGGCAGACTTTAGCCAAGGCCGTCATTGACTTGGGGCCCAAGGAGGCCTGCACGGGGCTTACTTTCGTCTGTCTCAGTAGGGCGAAGAGACTTGTGGACCTCATGGTAGAGCCCATGAGTTTCGACAGGATTGGTAACCTTGGAAATTCGCCGACGATGAAGGCTAGGCTGCAGGAAGAGGTTAGACTTGGGGAGTTAGCACAGAGTACGAGGGTCAAGTACACGGACATGGGCGTCTTCAGCGCCGTCGCGGGTAACCAATGACGTGAATTGCAAAGAGAAAAAGAAGAAGAAAGGGTCTCTTCCACCTCCCGCGGACGCACACGTCTGACGACAGTTACATCTATCAGCTGTCGCTCGTTTTAGCGACAGCTACTATATCTTCCGTCGTTTGTTTTTAGCTGTTTCATGCGGCGGACCACGGCAGTCTTGTATTTTTTAAGTTCATGCTTCTTCCAGGACACACCGCGATTGACTCCGAAAATAGGTCGCCATGGGCGCAATCACTCGACGTAGGCAGTATGCTATCGAAAGCAAATGCATTTATCTCGTTGTGAACGCAGGGGGGGAGCGACTGAGGTAGAGGTTGGTATATAAAGACGAAGTAGAAGCAGTAGTTACAATGCACATGTTTTCTTGGATGCTCGCTTCTTCTTTTTTCCAGCGGAACAAGAGCGCCTCCAGCCGTGCTTCGCGAATGGGTCCGCCGTGGGCATCCACTTGGTTGCCAGACAGGGTGGTGGACAACAACGAGAGACGGCAGCTGGGAGCCGCGCTTTTAGAATGCTCGGCACGGCTGCTGCTGCTGCTGCTGCTGCTGCTGCTGCAAAAGAAGAGAGCACGGACAACATACCTCCCATCCACTGCAATAATCGTGTGATGTGACTTTGTCCTACGCTTGACGGTACGCGTCTCGGAACACCGGAACGGCTGAGAGCTAATCAGCGTTGAATGGCCAGCTGGCTCAGTGTTATTCCTGTCACAATACTTGAGAATCGCTGCTATTGCTTGCCCCAGCCAGCACAAGGGCAAGCATCTTGCTGTATTCGTTCACCGCTGCCGGCAGACAGCTGTCGAGTTCGCCCAAGCAAGGAAGCAAGCCAAACACCAAACACAACCACCGAACAACGCAACACAAAAGGAGACTAACCAGGCAACAAGGGATCCACAACCATCTTCGGAAACGGCCATTCCAACTATATTACATTTCCACAAATACGCCCCAAAAAACGATTCCCGGTACAGTCTTGGCTCCGTTGTATGAGGGTGGTGTGAAAAAAGACCCGTGACCCCGTTGTATCGGAGCCCCCTATATGTACCGGTCAAGTAGGGTACCCGACCATCGGGTCGATTCCATGACAACCGATTTCTACCCTTTCACATCGGAGCACTCTCCGATAAGGTACCCTCTTATACCGGAGCCACGACTGCTGCGGCATACAACTGTGTTCTCTCGCACCGAAAAAAGAGCGCTCAGCCCCCCCCCCATGGAGAGATTCCCCAAACAGTCAACACACGCAACACACGTGCTTTCGACCCCCCCCCCCTAGCTATCCCTGACACGATATGCAAACCTCCCCGTATATCTCTCGCTCTTTGAGAAGCAGCGACGACGCAATCTCAGTCGCGGGGCCCCCCTCGGTGTTCATTCTCTTCTGCGACACGCCCGAGGCGGGATCTATTGTGAAGGGGATGGCGTCGGCCGCGGGGCGAGTGCGCAGGTAGTACATGCCGGTCTTGAGACCCTTCTTCCACGCGTAGAAGTGCATGGAGGTTAGCCGCCCGTAGTCCGGTGCCTCCACAAACAGGTTCATGCTCTGTGTGTGCGTTTTTTTGTGAAATGTTCCGCGTTGAACAGCAATTGCGCACGCGGGGGGGGGGGG